GACTAATTTTGTAAGTGGTCAGTTCATCATGAGTATTTTTAGTTTGAACTCACACACAAGTTTGTGAGTTCAGGGGTTCAGAAAATAAGTATGTTAACTATGTTGGTTACTTATTATGTATTGCTGCACTGCCTCTCATCTCAGTGGCTTAGAACAACAAACATTTATTATCTCACACTGTTTCTGAGAGGTGGTTCTAGCTCAGGTCTCTCTTGAGGTCTCAGTCAAGATGTCAGGTGGGGCTGCAGCATCTGAAGGCTGGACTGGGCCTGGAGGGTCTGGAGAGCTCAATTCCTTGCTATGTGGACCTTTCCACAGAGTTTCTTGGATGTCCTTATTACATGGCAGCTGACTTCTAGAAAAGCAGTTAGAGAGAGGGGAAGAGATAGCAACATCTTTTAATACCTAGCTTTAGAAGTTACTGTATTTTTCGGACTATAAGATGCACTCCTCCCCACCAAATTTGGGAGGAATAATGGTTGTTAATGCTGCTGTTGAGTTCTGTTTACATTTACATTGATGAAATATTATGTTATTTATGTTATTAAACATTTTACCACATTTTTTGCTTCAAAAAATTTTTTTCTTGTTTTCCTCCTCTAAAACCTAGGTGTGTCTTATGGTCCAAAAATACAGTACATACCATCATTTATACCATTTCCTATTGGTTTACAGACCAGCTGCAATAGAATTTGGGAGGGTACTGTGCAAGGGCATGAATACCATGAAGTAGGGGGTCACCGCAGGCTGTTCTAAAGACTGCTATCACCGAATGCCCTTCGTCCCCAATGATTCATGTTCCTCCCACCTGCAAAATACTCACCCCCTTCTCAAGGCACCCCAAACTTTAATCCCCTCATAGCACCAGCCTGAAGTCCAGAATTTTAGCATCTAAATTAGGTCCAGGTATGGATGACATTTCTCAAATGCATTTCCTTTAGGACAGCTATTCCTTAAGGACACATCTGAGTGGAATTCCTCACTGTCCCAAGACCTGTGAACAGAAGAGGATGCCATCTGCTCCCTCTTCTCAATATACAATGGTGGCACAGGCACAGGATAACCACTATAGATATTCCTTTTCAAAAAGGGGGAAAATGGTTTGGGTTTTATCTCTCAAGATGGCAACTGCACCATAATCTAACCTCACTGAAACTATCCACAAGTTGCTGTCTGTGACTTTTGGGTGTCTTCCAAACTCTTCAATCACACTTTTGGTCCATAAAAAAATTATTAAGTTTGCCCTGACTGGTATGGCTCAGTGGATTGAGTGCTGGCCTGTGAACCAAAGGGTTGCTGGTTTGATTCCCAATCAGGGCACATGCCTGGGTTGTGGGCCAGGTCCCCAGTTGGGGGTGTGTGAGAGGCAACCCACACATTGATGTTTCTCTCCCGCTCTTTCTCCCTTACTTCCCCTCTCTCTAGAAACAAATAAAATCTTCAAAAAAAAAGGGAGAGAAAATTATTAGGTTTGCGCCATTTCTACAAATAATGAGTTTTACTCATTACATTTTGATCTCTCTGAATTTCATTTCCAGTATCCCACAAAACTTGAACTTCAGTTTGGGGTTTCCCTTACAACCACACTTGACTATAGTTAATGCTTTTATGACAGCATCTGTATCCTTGAATTTTGTTAAAGATTGAAAATTTGAGCACAGAAGCCACCAGAGATGGTGCTTCTGCATCCTGAGAGACCACCCACAGTGCAGTGGAGCGAGCCAGAGAGAGTTATACTTGAGATGGACTATGGAATGGTACAAACGGCACATACTGGGGTGGAAGTCCAAGTCCAATGTAGAAAGACAGCCTGCTTGAGCAACCAAGTGTGTCAGCTGTACCTAAGATGACCCCAGCAGCAACAAGTACGTGTGGTGGACTTCCAGGTGGAACTGAGCCAGGCGTTCTTAGCTCAGACACCAAGAGGTGGTAAAAGCAGTCTTGAGCCATCCCAGCTGACAGTGTAATAATGATATTATCCACAAAATAAAAAGGATGAAAAGTTTGAGATTATAGGAATAACTCACACTTTTGCAAAAATTTAAACAATTCCAAAGTAGGTAAAAAAAAAACCCCACTAAAGTCTCTTTCTCATCTTCCCCCACTCATTAGAAATCATCTCTGTTGATCCTCTGGTACACCCTTTAAGGTATTCTTCTTCATTTATTGTTGATAGAGTCTATGCACATTGTTGACAGAGAAACAAACAAACCCTGGTTTTGGATGATGTTGTTGAGCCAGGAACTAACAATCCTAGAGCCAACCTATCTTATGGGCTTCTTTTTTTGAGATAATAAATTTTCCTTATTGTTTGAGCCATTTTGAATTGATTTTTTTGTTAGTTGCAAACAATTAAGCAATTGATTTTTTCATTACTAACTGATACATTTATCTATTTCAGTGGACCCTATTTATTATTCAGTCTTTGCTTCTCAAAAAGTCACAACATAGCCAGTGGGAGCCCTTCGAATGGGACATCTTGCCCTATCAGAACTGTCTGGACTTTCTTGAAAGCACCCTTACTATTTTAGCAACAACAGCATGTTTCTGGCTTATCCAGAGTTTTACCTGCCCCAAGGCATGGCACCAGCTACCCTCTAAGGAGTCCAGGATTCTTTTAGTGGAGAATAACATTATAGACCAAAATTTTGGCTCTAAGGAGTTGATGTAGGTAAAAAGGACTGTCATTGCTACTGGGACTCTTTTAGTAATGATAGAGCCAGAGAAGGGCTCATTTTCCTAATATATGAATAATCCTTACAAATCAATAAGAAAAAGACCAAAATACAGTAGAAAACGGAATAGCTAGTTCACCAAAGAAATACAGATAGCTCCTATAATACAAAAAGATGCTCAACCTTACTCATAATAAGGGAGATGCAATTAAAGTTCCACTAAGGTGCTATTTTTCACCTATCAGATTGACTAATGTAGAAACATTTTTCAGCACACTATTGGCAAGAGTAAGAGAGAATGGGCGTGCTCATACATCAGTGAACAAACACACTGATGGGAGTGTAATTCAGTACAGCCTCTGCAGAGGGCAGTTAAAGCAATTTCTGCCAAAGTTACACATGCTTTTGGCCCAGAAGTTCCATTTCTAGGATTTTGTACTACAGTTATAGTTACATATGAAAAAAGTGTGTATATATATAATTTTATAATAATAAATTTTATATTATAAAATTATACAATAAATTTATATTGTAAAATTATAAAATTAATTAAAATTTATTTAAATTATAAGATTATAAATTTTATATTATATAATTATATATTTTTTACCTACTAGATATATAATATATATCAAGTGATTTTTTCAGCAAATTAAAAAAAGATTTTATTTATTTTTAAAAAGAGAGGAGAGAGGAGGGAAAAAGAGGGAGAGAAACACTGATATGTGAGAAAAATATCAATCAATTGCCTCTTGCACATGCTTGACTTGAGACAGAACCTGAAATCCAGGAATGTATCCTGCATACAAATCAAGCCAACAGCCTTTCACTTTGCAGGATGACACCCAACTGAGCCACACCAGTCAGGGCTCAGCAACATTTTTTTTTATAGTTAGAAAAGATTGCAAACAAACGAAATGTTCAATGGCAACCTTAAGAACAGGAAGCTCTGTGCGTACTGATATGCAATGATCTCCTGATTTGTATTGCAATGAGGAGAAAACAAAGTGTGGAACAATATGTCAAGTTTTCTACCATGTGCAGAAAAAGGACAGAAAAGATAGGCGTGTACTTGTTTGTGAATACACCCAGCTTGTGGGGTGGAGGAACTGGGAGGCTTGGGGCCAAGAGGAAGAGAGACACCAGTGAATACCATTTTGTATTTTGAGAACTCTGAATCCAGTGAATGTGTTCCCCCTCCACCACACACACACACACACACACACACACACACACACACACACCACAATCCCACCTCCAAAACAATCAAATAAGAAAATGGGCATTACAGACATTTTCCATCAACTTTATGTGTTGGAAAGAAATAAACTACAGCATGCTGGTAGTACTCTATACCATGGTGGTACCAGAGTTTGTTTTACTATTCTCTTATTATCTGCATCATCTGGGAGTTTTTTGTTTACCTTTGTCTTCTCCAAGGGAAGGACTTATTTATAACTGATCTTTCAGTGCAGTATGTTTTGGCAAACATGGACACCCGCAAGCCCGATTCTGTGATAAATCCAGGGTAAACAAAAGTGAGTAATTCGTGCTGGAAATGTGTTCTCTGCTTCAGAGGAGCTCTTCTTGTTGGGGATATGGACGCACTAACAAATTACTGTAGTATTAAGTGTGTAATAATATCAGTAGAAGCATGCACAGTGTGAGATTGGTACAGAAGAAAGCAGATTAGCCCTGCTGAGGGCAGTGGGGAGGGGTGGAACGGCTAGGGAAGAATTCTCTGTAAAATTGGAGCCTAACCCGAGTTTAAAAGGCTACATAGAATTTTCTAAGAGCAAGGACTGCAGGCAAGCAACATGATGGGTTCTGGGAAGCATAGGGCTCCAGCCTAAAGTGTGGGGAGACCAGAAGTGAGAATGGGGTACAGTGGAATGACGTGGAGGAGGGCAGGCCAGGTTAGCAAGAGCTTTGAATGACAAAAAGTTTGGATTTTCATCCTGCAGGCAACAGAGAGACAGCCTGAAAGCTAGAAAGGAATGAACCTCGGAGTCTTATGTAGGGAACAGACAGATGTTCAAATTCGGTCAAGTTAATTCGGTGGCCTGAATGTACCTTCCTCAAACGCTGCTGCAGACCAGGCCTCCTTGGTCCACCCTACAGCCACGACTGTTGGCAGGGGCGGACCAACCTGTGAGGCCGGCACACACGCGCACACCCCACCTGCCTTCTGGGTTAAGGGACAGTTCCTTCTTTCTGCATGTTTTCTGCCCATAGCCTCTTCTACTTCCCCATTCCATCCTCCTCCCACAAAGATAATAGTCTGCACTTGGTACCCTGACCAGGGCCCCTCCTTTCAGGCTTGTGGGCAGGAGACTTGGCTGGAGATCTGCCATCCACATCCCCGACCCCAGCCAGCAAGGCTTCGAGGGGCGGGGTCTTGAGCCCTTTTATTAGGCCCATCCACTCTTCTTCCCCTTCAGAAGGCACGAAACGAAACGTGTTTGGACAAGATGGGTGTCTACCTTGTCCGTGTGTCCACTGGGTCCTCGATCTACTCGGGCTCCAACAACCAGGTGCAGCTGTGGCTGGTCGGCCAGCATGGGGAAGCCTCCCTCCTGACGCGCCTGCGGCCGGCGAAGGGCAAGGTGAGCTGGCCGGAGCCCGGCTGTGGCTGCACCCCGCAGCCCGGAGGCCGTCAGATACCAGGGGGTAGGGGTGGGGGGGAAGCGTCCCCTGCGCTAACAGCGCTCCGAGACCGCTGGGCAGAGCGCTTAGGGGGGTGCGTGGCACACCGCAAGCGCTCAGTAAAGGCTCCAGCCACCCGGCTTCCTTGGAATGGAGGGGAAGGAAGCTCCTCCGCGCCCGCTGTCCACAGAGCTCTCTCCTTTTGAAACGCAGGGACCCTGGAGCGGCCGTGCTTCTCCTGTGTCCTTTATTCTTAAAAGCTATTTCAAACCTCCTCTGCTGTTGCTAAATCTCCGGCCTTGCGGGCTTTACCACCGGGGCGGGGTGCGGTGGAGGAATCCACCGAAAAGGAGGAGGGGGTCAGCGCGAGAAGCTAAGATCTGAAATTCCCGATCAGCTTCTCCTCTCCCGCCACATCCACCTGGTGTTCGCCCCTGACTCCTGTTACTTTTTCCTTCCGCGGTTCCCATCCCCAAATTTCCATCGCCCATCTAGCTCTGTCCAACACCCCGGATCCAGGTGTCTGTCCCACGGGAGCCCCAAAGGAACATGCCTCAGCGAGGCCCTCCCGCTGTCCCACCTCTCACACCTCTCCTCTCGCCTCCCCTACGTGTCACTCGCGCCTCCCACTCCGTTCGCCCCTAATCAAGAACCCGGACCCTGGGCATCTCCCGCACCCGTTTCCAGACGTCCGTCCCACTCCCGACCACCCGAGTCCCCTAGAGGCTACGCCTCCTTCAGCCTCTTCCCCGCCCCCCCGCCCCGCCCTTGCCGCTTCCTCTCCCGCCCTTCCAAGCCCTTCTTGCAGCCAGAACGACTTCTTCCAGAGACCTTCCGTCCTTAACACACCCCTCCCGCCTGAAACATTTGAATGGCTTCCGCTTGTTTTCAGGGCTAAATCCAAAGCCTTGGCTTTACCTTCGAGACTTCTCACGATTTAGTCGCGCTCGTCTCGCGTGCGCTCTGTGCTCCGATGCTCGTCGCTGCTCTCCCTCGCTCAGCCTCCGCTTTCTCACTTCCTCACCGGGCTTCTCCTCTCTCACACTTGCCCTGGCTAAACCCTTCGCACCTAGAGGTCTCCGCTTAGACAGAATGTCGCTCTGGGAAGCCTGCCCCCAGGCCAGGTGGGGGCCTCTATCAAGCTCAGCCTTGGAGGTGGTGGTGGGGCCCCAGGGTCCCACCGCTGAAACTGCCTGGTTAACAGTGTATTTCCCGGCACAACTGCTCGCTCGCCTAGGGCGTGGCGGGGGTGACCAGCGCCCAGCTCAGCGCTTGGTACAGTGGACGAGCACAGGGAGGAAAAAGGGCAGGAAGGAGTGCATCTTCCCTCCTCCGCCTCACCCAGGCGGGCGGACACGACCCTGGTCGTTGAGCCACCTTTCTCTTTTTGGCTCCTTTTGAGCCGCCTTCTCAAGAGGCCCAGCAGAAGGGCCTGGGTGGGTCTGTGGGCTGGCGCTGAGATCTTCGAGGTGGACGCGAGGGAGTACCTGGGGCTACTACTGTTCTTGAAAAGGTGCAAGCGGCACTTAAAGGATGACAACTGGTTCTGCAAGTGGATCGCTGTGCAGGGCCCCGGGGCCAGTGGGGACGAGTTCAGGTTCCCCTATTACCACTGGGTGGTGGGCGATTGCATCCAGAGCCTACACGAGGGCACTGGTGAGTGCAGGTTGGGGTGCGAGGCCTCTGGGGCACAAGAGAAGCTGGAGGTGGGGGAGAGGAGAAGAGGGAACAGGGCATTGGGGCAGAAACAGGAGGGCTGGGTCTTTTTGGCTTGTGGAAGAAGCAGTTGCTGGAGTTAGCACGCAGCAGCATGGATCCTGGGCAGAGGCATGATGCTGAAGGGTCAGACCCTTTCCCCCTCAAGGATGGCCTGAGAAGGCACCCCTGGTAGGCACAGGGGAGAGGCTTTCAGGAGAAGCCTCATCATCCATCCCTTCCACCCCATTTCTAGGCGGCACATTGGTAGAGGACCCTTAAGGCCTATTCAAGAAATACAGGGAGGAGGAGCTGAAAGACAGAAAGAGGCTGTACGGGTTAGCCTTACCCCTACCTTGTGACTCCTCCTGAGCTCTGGGTGAGTCCTGGCCCTTCCTCCAATCAATACCTGATTTCATTTCTGCACCACAGATGGGGCATCTGGGAGGAAGGATTAATCCTGAATGTGGTCACAACCAATTTAACCGACCTCCCACTAGATGAGAGATTCCTGGAGGACAAGAGAATTGACTTTGAGACTTCAATGGCCAAGGGGTGAGAACAAGGTGACTGGTTGAGAAGGAGGTGTCCCGGTCCAGTGGAGGCCAAGGGGCTCCTATGGACTGCACAGGGCTGGACTAGCCCAAGGTGGGTGCTTATGGTTGTGAGACGTTGATTATGAGAATAACTCTCAAACACTTTGCCTATCCTCTCCTGAAGGCTGGCCGAACTAGCTGTCAAAGACTCTTTAAATGTTCTGGTTAAGTGGAATGATCTGGATGACTTCAACAGGATTTTCTGGTGTGGCCAGAGCAGGCTGGCTAGTCAGTATCCCTACCCCAGTACCTCTCCCAGGACCCTTACCACCCATCTAGGGACCCAGGGCTGGGAGATATGAGGTCTGGGTCCCTCTGGTAGGCTGGGGTCAAGAGGGGATGGTCTGGTGGGAACTGGAAAAACCAGGAGCTCAGATCTCACAACATGCTCCAAACTTCCATACCTAGTTCAGGTGCGGGACTCCTGGAAGGAAGATGCCTTATTTGAGTACCAGCTTCTCAATGGTGCCAACCCCATGTTGCTAAGGTGCTCTAGTCACCTTCTTGCCCACCTAGTGTTTCCTCCAGGGATGGAGGAGCTGCAGAAGGAACTCCAGGTATGGGCATAACAGCCCATAGGCGGCCACACAGTGAAAAGGGAATGAAGTCAGTGCTTGTGCTGCTTCAGGGTCCACTGTGAGGCCAGCTTGCCGCGGGAGGGAAGGGAGAATTCTATAGGGGAAATCTTCAGTGATCCTGGAGATGTGCAATCACATAGCTTTCCCCCTTGAATGAGAAATGTATATTGTGGAGGAAGAGTGTGATGGGTAATAGACATAGTCAAAATAAAGAAATAACTGGGCCTCGCTGCCAGGGAATGAGGGAGTGTGGAGTAAGAGAATTGGGTCAAAGGTGGGGCTCTTAAGAGTCAATGGGGGGTCAATTTGGAGATAAAATTCATGGCTTATAGGGTGAGGCAGATTTGGGTGTGAACCCTGGCTCCACTATTTTAAGTGGTGTGACTTCAGGCAAGATGCCTATCTTTTTTTTTTTTTCTCATCTGTTCCCTCATTTATAAAACGAGTTAATTCAAGTATGTTTAAGAATTAAGTGAGGCAATCAGCACGTGATTCATTACCTGGTACAAAGTAGGTGATGAAGATAAATTAGTTTCCTTTTTTTCCTCTTCTTTTGGGGAATCAGGGTGGGAAGATGTGTTATGCTGGTAGCCCTTGCCCTCTGCCCCATCCAGGGAGGCACACTGTTTGAAGCTGACTTCTCCCTGCTGGATGGGATCAAGGCTAATGTCATTTTATGTAAACAGCAGTACCTGGCTGCCCCTCTGGTCATGCTGAAACTGCATCCTGATGGGAAAATCTTGCCCATGGTCATCCAGGTGAGAGGACCCAGGATTTCTGCTCCTCGTGTTTAGCCCTCTCAGCTCAGCCCCTCACCCAGACTCACTGAGGAGTCAGTCACCTGTGCTTAAGCACTGGAGATGGCATTAAAGGAGGAAATGGGCAAAGGAGGAAAGGGTCAGTCTAGCTGGAGAGACAGACTGGAAAAATCTAAATACCCTCCAATGCTGAGGAAATTCCTGAGGATGTAGACAGTCTGGGAGGGGTCATGGGAGCTTTGGGGGAGGAGCAGGACCTTCCAGCAGGGGAAGATGGATTGGGCAGAGAGGCTGAGGTGTGAGAATTTAGATTACCAGGGGACAGTTGGGTTGGAGTGGTGGGGAATAATGTGAGATAAGAGGGCCCAGACTGTAGTGGGCCATGGATGCCAAGTCAAGGAAGCTGGTGTAGGAAGCTGGTGTAGGCTGTTATGAAAGATGCTGTGGGTGCATTCTATGGGTCATTTTGTTTAGGACAGATCAGAAAAGGGAGATGCTAGATACAGAGGTTAGGGTGACATGCTACAGCAATTGTTCAAGATACAGGTGATACAGGCTCAGATGTGGGAAATAGTTGTGAGGGTGCAGAGGAAAGATGGATGGGTATGCAGAAGAAAATTAAACTGGCCTGGATTCAAGGAGAGAGAAAAGGTAGAGTTAGGCAAGACACCTGCAGAAATAGGACAAAAAAGAGAAAAGGATGCTCAGGTGGGCTTTTGTTTGGCCAACTATGAGGTAATGGGGAGACATTCAAATTGTCACATCCAGCTAGTGACTAGCTGAGAACTGGAGACTTAGCTGAGTACTGGCAGTATTGGAAGACGAAAGAGATGCTGAGCTTTCTGAAGAAGAGTGTGGGATAAAGGAAGCAGAGGGTCTGAATCTTGTTCACACTGAGGGGACTGAAAGGGGAAGTGGAGGCCAGGAAGTCAGTGGAAGAGGAGTTTCTGCAGAAGTCCAGGGACAGAGCAGCCTGTACAATGTTAATGCATTGAGTAGGTAGGAAAGGGAGGAGAAGGAATAGTGGCTTTGGGGAGTAGCAGCAGTGAGATGGAGAAAGCTAAGCAAATTCGGGGAAGAAAAGAGGGGTTAAATATATGGAAGGGGAACTGGCTGAGCAACTGGCACTCATCCCTCTTTTCCCCACACTCTTATTCTTGCTCTAGCTCCAATTGCCAAGTGAGGAATTGCCCTTACCACCACTTTTCCTACCCACAGATCCCCTGATGGCCTGGCTGTTAGCTAAATGCTGGGTCCGTAGCTCTGACTTCCAACTTCATGAACTGCAGTCTCATTTTCTGAGGGCACATTTGATGACTGAACTTATTGCTGTGGCCACCATGAGATGCCTTCCATCAATACATCCTATCTTCAAGGTAACACCTTATCACCTGCTCTCCTGCCTGCCCACTGCCCTCTGCCCCATGGCACAGTCCCACCTGTGGATGCAACCTCTCTGTGGAATCTCAGGGTGTGGGGAAAGCCAACCAGTGAAAGATGAGGGAGGATGGCTTGCTCTGCATCTTTAGCAGGGTGACTTTACCTCCAGAGGAGGTAAAAATGATTCATTGGCAAGGTGGGGGTGTGGGGAGGAGAAGTGAGAAGTCTTACTCTTTTTAGTTATAAAGCACATATAGATGAGCATACATATATCAACAGTACAAACAAATGACTGAGGATTCCATCCCAAAAGAAGGTCCCAATTAACATAAAAGACTTTTCCAGCCAGTTTTGACTGGTTCTAAAATCATAACACATAGTACTGGCTGGTGTGACTCAGTGGATTGAGTGCTGGCCTGCAAACTGAATGGCTGCCAGTTGATTCCTAGTCAGGGCACATGCCTGGGTTGTGAGCTGGGTCCCAGTTGATGGTGTGATACCATCACACCATCTGGTACGTCCTTTATCTGAGTACATTATCTTAAGGTAACCAGTTGATGTATCTCTCATGCATCAATGTTTCTCTCCCTCTCTTTCTCCCTCCCTTCCCCTCTCTCTAAAAATAAATAAATAAAAATCTTTTAAAAAATAGTAACACATAGGTTCAGGTCAACAACAGTAGCCTGGTTTTTTTTTAAAATTTATTTATTTGTTGTTGTTGTTTTACAGATATTTGAATCAAGTATTCATTCACCCAGTAACTATTTTTCTCGGGTGTCTCCAATTGGGCAAGAACTCTCCTAGATGCCTGTGCTAATATGCAAGACAGGCAAGGTCCTGATCTTTGGGGATTTTCATTTTCAATGAGGGCTAACAGGCAATAAAGATTACACTATGCCATATCTGCTGTGATAAGTACAATGCAGGGAATCAAAGCAGAGTGATGTGATGTCGAGTTTAGATTGGGTGGTCAGGAAAGGCTCCCTTGACAAGATGCTGCAGAGAATGAGACCATGAGGACCCAGTCCTGAGATGATCGAGGTGCACATTGTTCTAAGCAGAGAGACCAGCTTAGAACAGTGCAAAGGTCCCAAGGCAGGAACAAGCGTGGCATGCTTGAAGAACAATATGAAGGTGAGTGTAGTGGGACAAAAGGGAGAAGGTAGGAGATGGAGTTTGGAAGGTAGGCAGGTTAGAGCATGCAATCTCAGTGAAGGCAATTATGCCCCTCAAGGGGCTAAAGTGGGCCCAGGACCATGGACAAACTAGTAATTTTTATGTATAAAGCACACACACACACACACACACACACACACACACACACACACAGTACGTAACAGATACACTATATCTGTAGCATTAAAATCTCATGAAAGTGAGAAAAGGAAAAATATCTGAAGAGACTCTTTATTGGAGCAATAATGAAAAAAGGTTTTGAAGCATTGAGTTAGATCTTTAATGGTCTTAAAAGAAAAGGATCGCTTCTCAGCCTTTTGGCTAAGATTAAGTGTAGTATTTGTTCGTATCAGTTTAATATCTGGTACGTCCTTTATCTGAGTACATTATCTTAAGTGGATATTTGGAGCTGGAGATGGAATAGGATCTTGCTCGACTACTCCACACATCGACCTGGTTTTGCAGTACTTCCAGGAACGGTACAGACATGCACAAAAAAAAAAAAAAAAAAGGAAAGGAGAATGATTTCTTCCACTTATCAGAGAGCAGTAAGTCAATGGTTTGTGGAATGAATTACAAACCAACTGAACACTCTTGGTGTCAAGGGACCACTGAACTTCATGTTTCTGCTTTGCCTGAGCACCTGGTATCTTTTCTGCTCTTCAACTCCTCCAGTTCCCTGCAGGGACTTGCCACCGCTGTCTTATGATTTTGCCCTTCCCTGTTCTCTCTTTCCAGCTGATAATCCCCCACCTGTGATATAGCATGGAAATTAATGTGCAGGCTGGGACTGAGTTGATCTCTGACATGGGTGTTTTTGATCAGGTATAAAAAGAGAAGGGAGAATCTAGAGCTTATGCTCCCTCTGGCTCTGGCCTGTGGCAGGTGGACTTGCCTGATCCTGCCCATCCTTGCTCCTCAGGTGGTGAGCACGGGTGGGGAGGCCATGTGGAGCTGCTTAGGTAAGCTGGAGCCTTAATAACCTATAGATCATTATGTCCTCCTGATCACCTGGCTGACTGGGGGCTTTTGGGAGTCAAGTCTTCCTTCTATGCCCATGATGCTTTGTAGCTCTAGGAAATCATCTCCTGGTGCGGCAAGGGGAAGGCAGGGCTGGTGGGTGTGGGCAGGCAGGAAGAGGCTTGGGAGAATAGGAGGTCTGTGTTGGGGGGCAGGGAGCCCTGACCTGACCATGTAGGCAAGGAGCAAAGGGCCCGGAGGCTCACTGTCAGCTTCAGTTCTCTTGTCCAACCTCTTGACCGGCAGGTATGTGGAAGGAACTGTGAATCTTAACTATAAAACAGACGAGGCAGTGAAACAGGATCTTGAACTGCAGGCCTGGTGTCAAGAGATCACTGAAGTTGGCCTTCAAGGGGCCCAGAATTAAGGTGAATTGAGCCCCTGCACTGAGACCTCCAATCTGAGAGATTCCTCCTTGGAACACCCCCCAGAGTCCTCCTCCCTACTTCTATGAAACCTCCCACAAGGCTGTCCAACCCCTATTAAAATGCCCAAAGGCCTTTTCAGTTTCTTACTCGATAAGCTCCCCTCTAGGTCCCAGATGCTGTGGGACCAGTGGTTGCTAATATATGTTTAACAACTGGCTTCCTAGGTTGGGGGGGGACCCTGATTTGTAGTATTTGACCATTTCCCTGGTATAAATGTTTCCACCATAGCTATCATTCTGATGTCAACCAGCTTGTTAAATACTTGAACATTTAACATAACTGACTCTTGAGAGCCAGTATGAGCCATACCAGTACCCCACTGAGTGGGTCCCTCCCAGAAGGTCTCCCCTTTTCCCCACTCCCAACTCAAGCTCATGTCAGTTCTTACAGTTCCTGAGAGTTCTTGACACCCTTTCTCCCTCTCTCGTTCCTGCTCAGCCTCTCTGAGTTTTGCTTCTATTCCTGGCCTCACAGCTTCTAACTCTTTTTACCTCTTGCAGGGTTTCCCACCTCCTTGGAGTCCCAGGACTAGCTTTGCCACTTTGTCACCATGTGCAACTTTACCCGCACTGGCTGGCACTCCTCAGTCCACCTGGACCAGGTACTTATTATAGGGGAGCAATGGGCATTTGCACCTGGAGTTGGGGAGGGAGCTGTGTGGAGATGACTAAGGAGTGTTTATTCTTAGCAGACATTGACTCTAGATATCTGTGCCTCCTTAGCTGGATTGGTATGCTTGGGTCCCTAATGGACCCTGTACCATGCAGCTGCCCCCACCAACCACCAAGGATGTGACCATGGAGACGGTGATGGCAACCCTGCCTAACTTTCATCAGGCTTCTCTCCAGATGTCCCTCACTTGGCAACTGGGCAAACACCAGGAAGTTATGGTGAGACCCAGGTGGCCTGGTCCTTGAGGAGGGGGCAGCTGTGGGAGGTGTGGCAACCTAGCCAGGGGTCCTAGGCTCTCAGCTGCCATTTCTTTTCTGTCCCTGGGTGGCTCTGGGCCAGCACAAGGAGGAGTATTTTTCCGGCTCTGAGCACAAAGCTGTGCTGAACAACTTCAGGGAGGATCAGGCCGTCCAGGATGAGGAGATCAAGATCCGCAATGCAAAGCTGGACATGCCTTACGAGTACCTGCAACCCAGCATAGTGGAAAACAGTGTGGCCTTGTGAGCACCTCCGGCCTTTGGTTGTCTCAGCCCCCCTTCCATCCAACCCACAACCCCATCCCTTGGTGATTTTAGTCTTACCCTCCCCAACCGCACCCCTTTCTATGTCCACCTTCCCTAGAGAGTCACCTTTTCTTTGGCTGTGTCCACAATGAATACATTTTACCCTAGACGAACCACCTAGGGGCCTCATTTCCCCTTTCTTCCTCCCATTTTTCCTATTGCCCTCCTTCCCTCCCTCCCTCATCACTGGGGTCTCCTGAAGGGCAGATGATAATCACGTTTATATAAACTGTTTCAAGAGTGGACTAAGCTAATGATACATACTACTCCATATTTCTTATGATTTTGAAACTTGTCTGAGTTTAACAACAATAAAATAGTGTTTTAGACTTATGAAAGAAAAGAAATTAGGTCAAACTATCCTAAATCAAACACTGGCAAAAGCATACATCAAGTCTTTAAGTAGATGGGATTTACTGCATGTCCTGAAGACAGACAGAGCACAGAGCTAAACACTGACGCAGCAGTTCTCAAGATTTTTACTTTGTGGCTCACTTAGAAAATGGTAAATGGAAGTAAAGTCGTTAAACTGAAAAAGTTGCTTCCAGCTGGAGGTAGTTGAACTTAGGGCTTCAGTATGAGGGATCTCCCCAGACCTCCTTCTCCTGGAGAGTTACACCCTCTTTATTTGTTCCCTGCTGGATCTTCTCATTCTGAGGGCATTTCTCTTCAGTCCCTGAGAGAGAAAATGTCAAATCCCATTGCTTTCTGGAAATGCATTTGTTAGAGGTTTATTAAAAACAGGCTTGTGGGGAGAAAACCAAGACACACAGTCTTGATGTTCTCTAGCACCTGAAAATATACCCCACAAGTTCCAGTCAAGGTACAAAATGAAAAATGAGGTTTTCATGGCTTACACTATTTTAGGTGAATAAATTCAATTTCTTAGAACAGACTTATTCTAACAAATATATTTTCTTATAACACATGTCAATAAATGGAAATACAGTAAGTTATTAAGAATCAAGTATTGACTCAAATATTTAGAATCAATATTGAGGGTTATAGAACATAGAAGTTAGTAATAAACCCTTCTCAGGATGGCTCAAGAGAAATTCTTACAAACATACCTCCAGTACAGAGTTTTGAGATAATAAGCAATAGAATAATTATTCATCTGGCAAGAAGGAACCTTCATCCCAACTTTGTTATTTTTTACATTTTTAGCATCTTCAAGGTAAAATCTGGCAAATACTCTCTAGATTTACCTTGAGTAAGGTAATCCAACAAAACATAATCTCTAGCTCAGTACATAGTTCTTTCATAATCTTTATGTTAAATGTTTACACTCTTTTCAAGGTTCCTCATTCAACTGCCCATTGAAACTGGAGCCTTTGACTTGTTACAATTTCCAGCTAAAGCTAATAGAAAGAGTGTGGGAATTTTTTTTCACCTCACCAGAGGACATTTTTTCATTGCTTTGACAGAGAGAGAGAAAGATGTGAAAGAAACATGGATCGGTTGCCTCATATGTGCCTCTCCCCAGGGACTGAACTTGCAAACTTTTGGTGTACAGGACTACTTTCCAACCAACTGAGCCACGCTGGCCAGGGCAAGAATGTAGGATTTTAATTTTTCTGTTTCTACATATCAAAACTGCTGGATCTGCACCTGCTCTGTCACTGCAGGGAGGGGAGAGGAGTGCAGGCTTGAGTGAGCCCTGTTGCTTGGGCCCCACTCTGGGGGTCCTATACCAACCCCAGACTTGCACTGGCCCTTTATGTGGAGGGTTGGGTGGGGCATTCCTGACAGGAAACCAAGAGTGGGCAAGCGCCTGCAGCTGGGAATGGGCTTACCTGAAGCAGAATATTGGTAAATGCAGTTTAAATTATGTCATTGTTTCTGCAACGAATATTCAGGGGAATAAAGGTGTGACATTGCAGCTGGGATAAAGAGATTCAAGCACTGGAGGGGTCGTGGCTGAAAGAGTGTGAGACCAGCTTTTTAAGGCCCTGAGCAAGCCTGAGCTCCAGGGAATCGTCTCCAACCCTAACCTCTCGATGCCACAGAGTGCTTTTCTTCTATGACTGCCAGCTCCTTTCTCTGCTAATCTCAGCCATGAGAATGTGATCTTATGGGAAGAAGTGTCTGTGAGAATAGAAAGATGTGAGAAATACTGTGAAGACAGAAGGGATAGGACTTGGTGATCCTGTCAGCACAATTAGGTATGAAGGAGGAGGAAAAGACGATTCCAAGGATCTGGGCTGGCTGGGGGCAAAAGATTTTTTATCTTAAACTTTTAAAACTGACGTATAACACACAGACAAAAAATGTGCAAAACGTAATGTACTGCTTAATGGATCATCACCAAGAGAAAATCATGTAGCAACAGGCCAGGGCAAGAAGAAAACATTACCAGCTCCTTTAAAGCTCCCATATGTCTCCCAATATTACCCTTAATTTTTAAAAAATGCATTTTTTAATTTTATTTTTCTTCTAACATAATCTAAAGTAATTCTGCTCAGTCTTTACCCTGAAGGAAGACTTGAAATATGTTTAGGTCTCAGAAAACCTTCACTTACCAATTTTGATATCTACAGCTCATTGGTACACTAACATAATTGTTGCTGGTAAACTGTGATAAGATAATCCAATGATAACTTTTAGGGCTCTTTTGAGTAGAAATTGATATTTTTCTGTGGATATATTTATTTTGACTAGCTTAATAGCCTACTGTTTTTCTGTAGCTTGCCTTTCCCTAAAGAACATCAACTATAATGGAAGTTTGGAAGATAAGTAGAAGAAGTTTTAGTTTTTCTTTTAAAGAATTTCCCACTTTGGTAGTGTAACTTTTCTGAATTAAAATTAAAGTACATCCTTGGCTTGTGTGGCTCAGTGGATTGAGTGCTGGCCTGAAAACCAGAAGGTCGCCAATTTGATTTCCACTCAGGGCACATGCTTGGGTTGCAGGCCAGGGCCCCAGTTGGGGGTGTATGAGAGGCAACCACACATTGATGTTTCTCTTCCTCTCTTTCTCCCTCTCTTCCCCTTTCTATTAAAAAAACAAACAGAACCCCCCCCCAAACTAAAGAACAATAAACTGCATGCATTTAGAATGTAAAAATTGATCATTTTTGACACATGTATATATCCACACAGCCATCACTACAATCAGGATGGTGAACATTCTCATCATCCCCCAAAAGCTTCTTGTGTCCTTTTACAATTCATCCCTTCCTCCATCCCTGTTCCCAGGCAACAATCATCTGCTTTCTGGGATAAATTACTTTGCATGTTATAGGATTTTATTAGAATGGAATCATGCAATGTATACTCTTTTTTGCTTGGCTTCTTTCATTTAGCATAATGAGTTTAATATTCATCCGTGTTATTGCATATTGTAGTTTCTTTTTATTGCTGGATAATATTCCTTTTGGGGCATATACCACAATCGGTGTATCTGTTCATTGGATGATAGTCATTTGGGTTATTTCTGTGTTTGGGCAGTCTGGACAAATAAACTTCATATACAAATCTTTGTGTGGATATATATATTTTTATTTTGGGGTAAACTCCTAAGAGTGGGTTGTATGGTCACATATGTTTAGCCTTTTAAGGCACTGCCTATGTTTTTCTAAAGTTCTTGCACCATCTTACATTCCCACAAACAGTGTTTGAGAGTTCCAGTTGTTCCACATTCTTTCCAACACTTAGGATGGTGAGTCTTTGTAATTTCGGCCAAACAAGGCTATGTAGGGACCAGTGATACTGAGCATCTTTTCATGTGTTTACCAGCCACTTTTATATGTTCATATGTAAGCTCTGTTTAGATCTTTTGACCATTTTTAAAATAGAGAAGTTTATCTTATTATTATTTACTAGTAAATGTTCTTTATATATATTAGACACAATATATATACAAGTCATTTGACTGATACATCTATTGCAAATCTTTTCTCCCAGTTTGCATTTTCTTTTTCTTAATGGCATCTTCTGAAGAGCAAGAATTTTAAGTTTTGATGAATTCCAATTTATCACTTAAAAAATTATTTCATGCTTTTTGTATTCCAGCTGAGAAACCGTTGCCTAACTCCAGCAAAAGATTTTCTCCTATGTTTTCTTGCAGAAGTTTTATAGTTATCCAACATTATTTGGATCTTTTCTTCCCCCCAATTGAGTTGCCTTAGCACCTTTGTTGAGAATCACTTCAGCATAAATGTGTGAGTCTATTTTGGAACTCTCTATTCTGATCAATACTTCCATCTTTTCATTAATAGCAACACCTTTTAATACATATTTTATTGATTATACTATTATAGTTGTCCCATTTTTTTCTCCCCTTTATTCCCCTCTGCCCTGCACCACCAGCATTCCCCCACCTTAGTTCATGTCCATGGGTCATATATATGGTTCATTGGCTTCCCCATTTCCCATACTATTCTTAACCTCCCCCCATCTATTTTGTACCTACCAATTATGCTTCTTATTCCCTGTACCTTTACCCCATTTCCCCTCTTCCCCTCCCTGCTGATAACCCTCCATATGATCTCCATTTCTGTGACTCTCTTCCTATTCTAGTTGTTTGCTTAGCTTGTTTCTGGTTTTATTTTTTAGGTTCACTTGTTGGTATTTGTGAGTTGGTTGTTATTTTGCTGTTCATATTTTTTATCGTAATATTTTCTTAGATAAATCCCTTTAACATTTCATATAAATGAGGGCTTGGAGATGATGAGCTCCTTTAACTTGACCTTATCTTGGAAGGATTTTATCTGCCCTTCATTCAAAATAATAGCTTTCCTGGACAGAGTAATCTTGGATGTAGGTCCTTGCCTTTTAAAACTTTGAATACTTCTTTCCAGCCCCTTCTTGTCTGCAAGATTTCTTTTGAGAAATTGGCTGTTAGTCTTATGGGAATCCCTTTGTAGGTAACTGTCTCCTTTTCTTTTGTTGCTTTTAAGATTCTCTTCTTATCTTTAATCTTGGGTAATTTGATTACTATGTACCTTGGTGTGTTCCTCCTTGGGTCCAACTTGTTTGGGACTTTCTGGGTTTCCTGGACTTCCTGGAAGTCTATTTCCTTTGCCAGATTAGGGAAATTCTCCTTCATTATTTTGTGAACTAAGTTTTCCATTTCTTTCCCTTCCTCTTCCCCTTCCTCTCCTGGAATCCCTATGATTTGGATGTTGGAGTGTTTAAAGTTGTCCTGGAGGTTCCTAAGGCTCTCCTCATTTTTTTTTGTATTCTTGTTTCTTCATTCTGTTCTAGTTGAATGTTTATTTTTTCCTTCTGTTCCAAATTGTTGATTTGAGTCCCCATTTCCTTCCTTTCACTATTGCTTCCATGTATATTTTCCTATATTTCACTTTGCACAGCCTTTACTTCTTTCTCTATTTTGCATCCATACTCAATCATTTCTGTGAGCATCCTGATTACCAGTGTTTTGAACTCTCCATATGATAGGGTGGCTATCTCCTCATTACTTAGTTCTTTTTCTGGAGTTTTGATCTGTTCTTTCATTTGAGCCATATATATATATTTAAAAAAAAATTTTTTTTTTGTCTCAGTGCACCAGTCTGGATGAATGTCTCTTCTTTAACTCCTTGGTTGTTGGACTTCCATACAGTTCGATTTTCTGGCAGTTCTGGTTGTTGTTTTTTTTAAAATAGGTTTTTGTCCTTCTTTTGACTGTGCAAGGAAGAAATACATATCTATTTGTGCCTCCATCTTAGCTGGAAGTCCAGAGTTTTCTTTCTAGACACCCAGTCCCTGCATCTACACCTCACTCCTTATATTACTACTGAATAGCATTTTCTGAAGGGGTCCTGAGTGCCAGTCCCTTTTCTTGCTAGCAGTGTCTGGTGCTCCTGAGTGACTGTACCCACCTTATCTTCACCTACCAGGTCTGCTTGCTTAATGTGGGGCATTAGGATTGTCATTGTGGGCCAGAAAAGGCCCTTATGAGAGACCCTTCAGAGCACAGGGATAAGTTAGAGTATTTCTTGTAATATAACTTTTGGTATCCATGCACCTAGAGTGTCCATTTTTTTCCTATCCACAAACTCATCCCAAATGAGTAATGACAATGTTTACTATTTCTGCTTTCCCACTCTTTTCTGTTAATAGGATTGTTTCATATGGTTTGGGTAATTTCTCCCACAAAAACAGGTCACACTATACATTTTACATTCTCGGAAGTTGCTTTCCACAGTTAACAATATATGATGAGAATATCTTCAGATTAACAGATGGAGATCTAAAGATTCCCTTTGCTAGCTTTAACAATTACCCTCTTGATGGATATTCAGTATTAACTATGATGAGTGCTTTAATGAATGCCATTGTATATATCCCCTTTTATGTCCTTATGTTTATAGGATAGGTTCCCAGAAATGTAGTTTCAGACTAAAATAATGTATGTATTTTATATTAGATGCTATTTTTTGAAAATCACTATTTTGAGATATACTTGACATGTAAAATCTGTACATATTTGATGTATAAAATTCAATGAGTTTGACAATAACTGTAACCC